ATGCCCAGCCACTTGTATCTTCAGAGAGGGTAAGCATAATCTTTTTGTTGCTCCTTTACCTTTTTTTTGTTTGTTTGTTTTTGCTTTTTTTGTTCACTCTCTGGCAGTGACAGCAGTGTATCTGGAAAGTGTTTACAAGGAGGTGCATGCAGTATGGGTATTTTTGAAAAGTAGTGTGGAGGACTTATTTTCACTTGTTATGTATCTAGTAACGTGTGTTTCTAAAGCCAGAATGTGGTGAGCCAGGAGTGATGGATGGGAACAGTTGCTTCTACTACAACTACATAGGAATAGCTTCCATGAATGCTACTATTTTCTATGATATTTTAAATTTCTTGTTCTTTCTTTTCTTGCATTTGTCTCGGCTTATTAATACCAGAACACAGTACTGGAAACAACGAATCTGGTACTCTGAAGTGGGGAGATAGTATCCATATCATGCCTTGACGATCATTCAATAAATTAGCTGTAATGAGCCGTCCTGTGCTAGTGTAACATGTTGAAATAAATGAGAGAACAATAAAACACAAAGTCACTAACACCTCTTTAGACCATAACAAAATCTGAAAATTTGCTGATGAAATTTTCTTCAACATTCCCAAATAACTTAATTTTTCCAACCAACTCCATGCTACAAAATGAAGGATTTTGAAGCCTTCCTTTCAAACTTGAACTGAGTTCTTGTTCGTTTGATCAAACAGTGGCATCTGAGACTTGGTATATCTGTTTTTTGAGTAGGGGAATCATACATAAAGATTCGTTGATTAAGTGAGCCAGTAAAAGTAAAGCAAAAGTGTCTAGAAATTCGTTATTCCAATTCAGTTGGAAAGATTCCAGCAGAAATCAATGGCCCCTGCTGTTTTTACACGAAACACCTGGGTACTTGACAATTAAAAGAAAAAAAGAAAAACTGGGAGGGGAAGACCAGAAAGGATTATGGATTATTGGCATTTATGTACTGAATTCAAGGACATCTGAATGCATAACAGAGGTTTCCTGTTGTTACCTATAAATGTTTGGGTCTGACACCAACACAGAAAGACTAGAAATAAATTAAGGGGCTGTACGAGTAATCTTGTGAGTGCTTAGGTTTTATAGCCTATAAAAAAAGAATCCTTGAAAGAAATTCTAACTTCACAATAAAATGGTGGATACTTAGTAAGCTTCTGAAGGACAGTGCCATGGAAATGTCAATTCAGGGTGTGGTAGCAGTCATAAAAAGAGAAAAAGCAAAATAGATGGTAGGATTTACTGGAAAAGGAATCAAGAAAGCTAGATTGTCTCTAGTGTTATCCATTGTCTTGTTCCTTCTGTAGTTCTGTTTAGAACATTTTTTTAGATATCTTTTTTTCAATATTTGATGAAGCTGGATACTGGGGAAAAAGAATGTTTCATTATGAATGCAACATGAAATGAAAACAGCAGCAGTATTGTAAGCTTTCAGAAAACTCGCATATCGTGTATGGGAATGTATCCAGAAGAAAATATAAACAAATAAAAATCCTCCAGTGTTCTTTAGGATATCAATTTTTAATTGTTTTTTTTTTTTTTTTTTTTTTTTTTTTTAAAAAAAATGCTGACCTTTTTTTTTTTTAAAAAAAAAAAAAAAAAGGTGATAAAATTTTTTGACCAGTAGAAACCCAAGCTGTGCCTGTGTATCACCTTACATGTGAGAGTAAAAAGACCTCCGTATGTTAACCTTCATGCCTTAAATTGCTGCTCACAAAATGGAAATGAACGCATTATTGAATATGGGAAATATTTAAAAGTTGAGAATTCCCTTTTCTGGAATTCCCTTTCGAAGGGAAGCGATCATAGGTCTGTCTTGGCAAAATACGAGCAGCAAGGCCTGGCTGCCCCCAGGAGCAGAAGGGTGGCACAAGGCTCTGCGTGCTGCCCTGCAGCCTGGCCGCCCGCCCGTTCCTCAGGCCTTTGCAGTTTGGACACCAGCTGTATGTGGGCTGTTTCCCCTCACATCAAGTTGTTTTGGCTGGCACAAATATTCTGAGACAAGATTGTGTAATTTAAAATTGAATTCTAATGGGACTGCATTCTTTAAAAATAATAAAAAAAATAAATAAAAAATATGTAACTTTCAACCTAAGAAGAGCTTTCCAGGTCTGTCGTGAGGAGCTGTCTGCACCATCACCTCATTCTACAACTCTTGTGCTTACTTTGAAAGCCACCTGCAGAACTCAGAACATTGTAAGGAAAGCTTGAACCCCGAGTGGGGAGAAGAAAGCACCACAATTTTAGGCCTGTTCATGGATCTGCAGGGACAGAGCACCATTTCCCTCTGCTGCTGGCCTGGCAGAGGCCTACTCAGAAGGGCTGCTTTGCTGCGCTGCCTGGACACACTGTGGTTGCAGCGTAGGTCAGTAGGGAGGCCTGATTACTTGTGGAATTTGGGTTAATGCCCCCAAAAATGAAGTCTTCACTGGCACTTTTGTCATTGTAAAATGGCATGTGCTCAGCCTTAGCTCTGCTCTGAAGCTGCTGAATTGGCACCAGTTTCTGCTGGGGACTTGATTTAGTCTTAAATAACGTTGAACAGGGAAGTGATTAAAGTAAAATAGTACAAAACCTCTGAAGAATATATTTAAGTTAAAACTTTAAAATGCTGACCTTGGCAAGGCATTTTTGAGTTAATTACAGTAGAAAAGGAGCATCCTGCTCTTTAAGCAGCATGCTCTGAGAATTCAGCACATCACCACCTCAAAGACATGCTTTGCAGTACTGTGTGCCTCCTTTCTTTTCCTGCTGGCCTTTGGGACAGTTCAGATTACTTTGGTCTGTGTAATGCAACTACCTTCATAAAGGTATTTGCACGGATTGTTTCTTCAGAGCAGGCTGACAAACATAAGTGATCTGTTCTCAAAAGCTGTATCGAGTTGAGATGCTGCTCATCAAACAGTTCTAGTTACCTTTGGTAATTATCACAAGTGCTTTCAAATAATATTATCTCCAGCCTTCCTTATTTAAAAGGGATAGAAATATATCTAATTACAGTTGTGTGTGTGTATACATCACTATATATATTGTGCAGATTGGCAGTGGTGATGTAAGTGCTACTTTATGAAACTGACCTTAAAAAGGTAACTGGGTGTTGCTTTCTACCTGAAGATATTTTTGTTATATAAAACCCGATCACTCTGGCATTGTCAGCAGAAATTCTTGGCACTGTTTGCATTTATGAACATCTCATATTGTTTCAAAAATTCATTTTGATACATTTCAATACAGGGCTGGCTTGCAGTCGTTGAAGGCAGCAGTTTTTTATAGCTTGTAATGTTTTTGTTAGCTCCACTATGTTGCATCTCTGAAAGATGCCAATGTGCATCATCTTCAACAAAGTAGCAGGGAAAATGGCAGGACCTTTCATTCTAAATCTGTGTAAACATTTGAAGGAAGACTGTTTATTTCCAGTTGTGGATTTTTTTCCCCCCTCCACTGACAGCTTTGAACTAAAATACTTTCCCTCTGGGAAAAAGTGTTGTTTTATGAGGATTAGGATGTGTGTGTATATATGCAAATATTTATTTTCAAAGGAAATTTGTTAATCTTCCTCCACTTAAGTTGGGTAACAAAGAAACAGTATAAAATCATTTTCATTAAAATACTCTACGAATGAATACACAGTTACTTTGCAAGCATTTTGGAATGAAGACATTTTTGTAAAGTATCCTCTTCGGTTGTATTTATGGGTGTCCTCGTATTTCAGTGCTTTACTTTTCAACCTGGTATTACCTTGGTGGATATTTACTTTGGTTTTAGTTATAAGCAAAAAGGAAGTTAATGTGTTTTTTATAATTTTGGGTTTGTCAAGTTCCAGGTGCATCAAATATAGCTTCATTCCTTTGACAGTACCAGAACAGCTTGTGATGATCTGTATGGGTGAAATGTTCTCTTACAACTTCAGTATATATTGAATATATGAATTTATATATTCAGTATATATCCTTCTTCCTGTCCCAGCAATTTGAGAAGGAATTTAAGTTTTGGAAATTAGGCATGTATATGAAGATTAAGCCATGGTTCTATAGAAATCATGGTCTACTTAGAAAATCACACATCATTAGAAAACGCTGGCTTTAGTGAAGAGAATTAAAATGATGACAGACATCTTCCTCTGAAAATATCAGTTTATTGTTGATTAATCCAATTGAATTAGTTAAATAAAGTAGAAGGCAGGAAGAGTGGTTCACCATGACATGCCGGCAAGCTATTTCAGATCTTGCTATGTAACCATGTATTCCAAATTGATGGTTAACAGACTAAAGTGCAATGCACTTTTTGGAATTATGTTGTGGAGTGAAGAAGAGGGACCCTATAGAAGAGGTATGCCTGAAATGAAACAGTTTATAGCATGTTGCTTTTGTTTATATTCTAGGCCAATTTTTGTGACCGGTGTATCAAATTAGTGTTGTCTGTAGGTTTTTGGCTTTGTTTTTTTCTTTCGCAGTGGCTTTTGTTTGTGTGTGGTTTTCAGGTTGTTAATGTATTAACTATTTTTCCTTATTTTTCATGAAAAAACTATATAATTTAAAGTCCTTTTTAGGTTTATTAATATGAAAAATATCTTATCTATTGTTCTGGTTTAAAAATACATAGTAACAGGAGATGACTACATTAATTTCTTGAAGTGTTAGCAGTCATCATTTTAAAAATACAGAGTAGTAGGAAAAAATAGGTGCTTTTATTTTTTAGAAATGGGAAGTGTTTGGAAATTGTACGCAGCTTTGCTTCACTGTAGTTTTTTTTTTTTTCAGTAATGTTTCCAAATGTAAGATTCCTTTTGTGAATCTTTTTAAGAAGTCCTACTGCCAATAATATTACAGTCGTACTGTAATTTGCTTGCCCTGTGCTGATGCTATCAGCACAGTCTTTAGACTGTCTTGATCAGTTGATGTTATGGACATTACTTCGATCAAATTTAAAAACATCCAGTGTTTAGCCTTTAAGCTTTTCTTTACCTTTATTTTTTTTTCTGTCCTCCACAGATACTACAACGTACTCCACTGAGCGATCTGAGCACTTTAAGCCATGCAAAGACAAGGATCTTGCATATTGTCTCAATGAAGGGGAATGCTTTGTGATTGAAACCTTAACAGGATCACATAAACACTGCCGGTAAGTCATTTGCAAAGTCTTTTGTTTAAAATAATAATAATCTAATCTTCTGATCTTCTGTCCTGGGGAGACAACAGCCCAAAAAAAAAAAAAAAAATTAGAATTTTATAGATGTAAAGCACTGGAATTTATTTACACTTGATTGCTTAACATTTTTTTGGGGGGGGGCTTCTGGATAATATTTATAAATAAAAATAAACATTACATAAAGCAATATTTTAATTACTTTTATAGATATATTTTAATTACTTTTATAGATAAATCTTCAATATTCTATTGTCTAATGATACAAGCAAGAATGAATTTTTACTTACGATAGCCTTGTGTTCCTTTAAATGCCAGTAGTATTTCTTTACTTTGTGCACTCAAAGTACAGCTTTAACAGTAGCTGTATGCACTGTTCAGTAAGAGAGGGGAAGAGTTGTTCACTTGGCAGTTCTAAGAATTTGTGTTTCCTAGTTTAATTACTGACAGATAAAATGAGTTGTGATGACCATCTGAACCTGCTATAGATAGCTGTTCTGCTAATATAATACCAAACAAATTCTGTTAATATCTATGAACATCTTGAATGTATATTTAAGAATATCAGAAACAAAAAAGAGATTGCCAAAGTTTCTCTAGGTGTAGAGGCCAGCAAATGGGATTGTTATGCGGAAGGAGTACTTTTAACACCTTAAAGATGAGAAGAAAAAAAATCCTGGACTCAAACAATCATTGGACTCAATCCTGGACTCATAAAACAATCATTTACATAGAAGTGGTACAAATGAAATCTTTTATTTCTAATGTTTTATTCTACTTTTAAGTTACTGTGTTTCGCATACAGTGGATGTATTTATGCTTAAATTCTAAACTGAGAGTCCAAATATAGTATAGTTATCTTTGGTATAAACGATTAAACTGCCTGAGAACACTCAGAAGCTTTACTGAGTGATTTGAGACCTAGCTGAAGGTTGGTCCCTCAAGAAAAGAAAATCACAAAATGATTTGTGCCTAGTTTGAGATTTTACTTTAAATTCTCTGCTGGCGATTTTTCCCATTCAGTTGTATGCACTTTAGTGATCATTTTCCCTGTTTGCTTTCTGTTTTCTTATGGCATGCTTACTAAATTAATAATTATGAGTCATTGACTATGGAAAAATGTTGTCCTTTCAACTTCCATCATAAAACTTTACAGGTATTGTTTTCTCAAATTAAGCGGGTGATTTCAATCTTTCTTAGAAGTGTCATGAACTTTGAACAAGGAAATTACATCACTCAAATATTTAAACATTTTTCATTGTCAGAAAACTCATACTGGGCAAAACTGATAGATTTACATGAGCAGAAAGAAACTAACATAAGAATTGGGCTTAAATTTATTCACAAAATTCTGTGCACAGAATTTAGTTAATGTCTAGTAAATTATATGGATTAGGCTATCATATCTGCAAGAGTTTATCTCATAAGAGCTCTGTCTCTTTTTTTTCTGATTTTCAAGATTTTTCACATTGCATTTGCCAAATTCTTGTTTATTCACTGTGATTCTAATGCCACATTCTGACTAAAGGCTAGAGGATTTCCATCCAGGCTTCCACCCTTAACTAAGCAAGCCATAATGTTGTGTTTTCATTCTCTGCATCAAAACAAAATTTTTTATCACCTTCTTGTATGTTATTTTTCCATAGGGAAATACAGGTATCTCATTTGTGAATCTGTTAGCTCTGGTACGTAGCAGAGTTGCATCGCTTGTACAAGTTTCAGATGCCGGCATATTCTCTGGGAATTAAACATCTGTTTATTTCAGTGGGTACTCTGAAGTGTGTGACATGAAAAGATGTGTATATGGACATAAAAATTCATACACCAAAATCAGACAAGTAAAATTTAAAAGGTGATTAAACTAGTTATAATGCTTCGTTTAATTTTTTAAGGACCTTGAAAAGTGTAAGTGGCAGCTCATTCAGAATCACTTTTATGTTACTGTTAAGTATGTCGTTAATCACTTTTAGAGCAATTTATTTAGAATCAGATTTTCATGATGTCCAGTTTGAAGAGAAACTGTTTAATTTGACCTTCAAATTGTGTATCTAGCTCGGTAACAGATTGCGTATCTCCTCATGACCAGTGCCATAATGAGCAGGATGCAGGTGTTTTTTCTATCTGCAGCTTAGAACCATGCTCTGAAATAGCAGCTAGAATGTACTCATACAGAAAAATACAATGTTAGTGTACTGGATTTGTCCTTTAACTAGAAGAAAAGTAATTTTCCCTGAGAATGAAAGGGTTATGGAATTCCCCCTGCAATTAAAAGAATCATTTGAATACTGAATTATGAAGATTTAGAGTGTGAAATGATACTTTGTTCTTAGAATCAAGCGGCATTGTGTATTCTCATTAAGAGTTTGATTTTGCATCTGTTCTGGGAACAGAGCACCAATTTACTGAAATGGGAATTTGCCATGTGGAACAGCTGCAGACAGAAGATCTTGATGTAGCAGAAAACTTGAGTCCCACTCTGTCAGGTTGAAAGAGTGGTGGTAGATGATGTGCTTAGGCAGTTGTACAATCATTCTTGTTCTTTCACATGTATGAGTACATATATGTGAAATATTGTGTTTAAAAAAAAAAAAAAAAAAAGCCTGGGGATGGAAAGTGACAGTTGTGTAACAAATGAGATATGCTGGGTGCTCTTGTGCTATTTTAAACATGTGGCTTCAGTATTTATTTTTGTGAATGGTTTAACACAAGTTCTTTTTAAGGATAGAGTAGGTCAACAGTAGGGAAACTTGATATTTAGCTTTTCCATATGTTGAAATTTCTTCCCTGTTGCCTTCTTGAGAATTTAAAATGATTGGGAGGGTGCTTTTCATTGCTATTTACACAAAACAAATCAAGCACACAGTCAATACTGACACGTCACCGTTTAACTGGATATTATGTAAAGCAGCTTTTACCAGGAGAAAAAAAAAAAAAAAAAAAAAGTATAGTTTTATTTCAAAGACTGTATCTCAAGCTTTGTTGTATCATTTTGTGTCTTCTTCCCCCCCCCCCCCCCCCCCCCCCCCCCTTGTTTCTGAGTTAATTCTTCTACCATTTTATCTCTTTTTAGTCTTTTAGTCCCCTTCATTCCTTCTGATTACCCATTTAGGACTGCAAGACGCTGGATGAATGAGTGGCTAAGACTTTTGAAGGGAGTAGAGGATTGCTCTGTTGTTAAATTTCTCTTCCAAAAGAAGCCATTAGGACTATTGTGTATTCAGTGGAAATCTTGGAGTAGCAATGAACTCTAATGTATTTTTTATCCATATGAGTATGCTGGATGAGATATTCCTTTTGTCACTCGTTCTTGTCCTTCATCTCTCCTTCATGAAGAAAGCAGTAAAAAATCTGAGTGTATTTTCTGAAAGCAGAAAGTCTTTGAAAGAGTAGATTCACAAATGCACAGCAAAGAAAACGCTATTCCTTGTTAATGTAAATACAGCGGATTGTGCATATACATCCAAAGTGGACAACACTGGTTATTGCTCCCAAGTTTTCAGATTCCATAGGACAATGTATGGGTTGACGTAGTTCTGATAAGAATTCTGAGCTTGGTGTTCTTACTCAATTTTATGCATAAAAATTTCCATTTTACACTCATTGATGAAGAAGTGATACCAGCATTGCTCAGTTATGTTTAAAATCTGTTAGTAGACACAAAGGAATAATTTCCATTTAATGAAAGTCCAATTTGTATAAATGCTTGTTACATACTGTCAGCTTTTATTGTTGATCTTTCACATAGTGGCAACTGTAATTCAGGTGCAGCCCTTGCTGTCCCTGAAAGCAGGAGAAACATATCAAGCAGACTGGAATTAGAACAGCTCTGATCAGGGCATAGGTCATTCCTTCTTTAGGAAGAAATTCTTCACTCAGAGGGTGGTGAAGCACTGGCACAGGTTACCCAGAGAAGCTGTGGATGCCCCATCCCTGGAAGTGTTCATGTGTTCAAGTATTCATGGCAAGGCTTGATGGGGCTTTAGGCAACCTGGTCTAGTGAGAGGTGTCCCTGCCCATAACAGGGAGTTAGAACTGGATGGGCTTTGAGGTCCAACCCAAACCATTCTATGCTTCTATGATTTTAATCATAGGTATATATAGGTAATATATATAGGTATATATATACCTATATAGGTATATATAGGTATCACATTAATATAGGTATCACATTGTGTTACTATTAATATAGGTATCACATTGTGTTAATATAGGTATCACATTAATATAGGTATCACATTGTGTTACTATTGCATCACATGCTTATTCAGCAGCACTTCTAAAACTCTTGGTTGCCTTCAGCACTGCAGTTGTTTCTGTTAGCTCAAGTGAATCTACCTGTGTGCCCCAAGCTTTGCAACTGTGATAGTTCTCAAAGCTCAGGCTTGTGAAAAGTCAAGTTGCAGAATTTCTGGCTAAGAGGTCTCTTGCAGAGTCTGTGCATCCCAAGGGTACCATCTGCTCAGCTATATTGATGTAGTCAAGACTATACTAACAAAAAGCAAGTAAGTCTTTATTTCTTTAAGTAATATTAAGAACAAATCTGGAATTTTTCCCTTTTCCCTTTTTCATTGGAATGCCTCTATTTTTCTGGTCTAGTTTTAGATACCTCTTTTCCTTTCCCCCAAAAACAAACAAATAAACAAAAAAAAAAAGTGGAAAAAAACCACATCAGTTTGGTGAATGCTCTTTCAAGCTCCTGCCCCTTGAAATTATGGACAGAAGTTGCATGGCTTCGCTGTCATGTACCTGTTTTATCCTTACAAATCTCTTTAGACAGGAACTGTGAAGAAATCTGGTTTCTAAACCTGAGAATGAAATGGTGCAAAGTTCAAGAGATCTGTAGGACTCATACTTGTTACCTAAGAATCATAAGTTTTTGTTATTATCCAATCTGATGTGATTTTTTTTTTACTACTTTATCTGAAACTATACATAATTAATATCTTAAGATTTGAGCTAATTTAAATAGAACCAGT